AAGTATGCCAGCTGATTACACTGATGAGAACAAACTGAACCACACAAGTGGCATTTTGCACTGAAATCAGCTGCTGTAATGAGTCGATAGCAGGTATTGCAACAGCATTAGTCATAGGCCTTTGGAAAAAAATTAGCCATCTGCATTGCCTCAGTACACTGCCCACGTAGGAAAAACTTCCAAAAAAGTACATTCAAAGTAGAGTTTCTTTTGAGGGACTCTGATAATTCAACATACTGGGAAAAAAAAAAAAAAAAAAGTTTGCATTTTGTACTATGGAAGACAGCCACAAAGTTAAAAGCATGTCTTTTCCCAAGCACACATACATGCAGACAGACAGAGAGCAGTGTTTACACACTGTAGACCTCCACCTACAGCACGTCCCACTCGAAAAAGAAAAAGAAAAAATCACAGAGTGGAAGTGGAGAGAGCAAGAAAAAAAAAAAGGCATGATATAAAAGAGAAGGATGTGCACAAATGAGCAATAACGGCTTGATGTGGACGGGGAAATAATACGAGAGAGACAGAAACAGAGAAGAAGAGATGTGGAAAAATCAAATCAATGCTTGATGCAGATGAAAAGATAAAATAAAAAATAAAACCCAGAAGAGGTGAGAAAAATCAATGCCGAGCTGAAAAGCTTTAAAAGCACATTGCCTGGCACATAAATGGGCGTATTTGCCAGAGATGAGCAGCAAATAAAGATGGGAGACGTGAGGAAAGAAAAAAAAAACAGGATGAGATGGGTTCTGGGGGGGGGGGCGGCTTCGGGTTTAATGAAGGTGGTCAATCGGTATGTTATGGCCCCCGATGTTCCACTTTACACCCCGATGAGCGACGTGGATGCGAGATGGGAGCAAAAAAAAGTAAATGTGAGACGGTGGTGGGGAAAGAAAAAAAAAGGGGGACGAGAGAAGAGATGGAGAGAGAATGCTGTGCAACGAAATCATGCAGAGTAACATGGTGAGGATGTGGGTTCGCTAATGGTCGTGGGTTCACCTCGTCTAAAACAACACCGGGCGGGGGGAGGGGAGGGTCATGTGATCTCGCTAGTCTTCAAAATGAACTCTAAAACATGAACAGTAAGATCATATCACCGCTGCTGTACCAGTGCTGGCTGAGGATCAATGGAAGGGTGCTCATACCTTTGTTAGCCAGGCGGACGCAGTTGATTTTGGTTTCCTGCGGAGAGACAAAAAAAAGAGAGAGAGACAGCGACATGCGGTGAATGAGAGGATGAATCGCTCAGTCAGAAACAAATCTTCAGTTTGTGTGTTTGGACTCGTCGTGGCTCTTCTTCTTCATTGACGGCGTTCCAAATCTGTTTCACATTTTATGAATCGACTCGTATTCTGTCTCTGACTCATCCATTCATCTGAACACTTTCTTTTTTGTCAAGGTAGCGCGGGGCTTTAGGCAAGGCCGGGCGACGCTACCGCAAGCAGAGATCATTACGACCTTCACGAGTACGAATGATCCTGTAGACTCGTGATGCATACAGAAAGGTGTTTCAATGCCCGGCCATAGAACCGTACTAGTCCACATTTTATTTGTACTGATATGAAGAATGAGGCCCCACATGGTGAAAATCCACTTTTATTGTGTTTTGTGGTTGTTATAAACTCAGAGATGTAAAATAAAAGCTGTTGAGATCTGAGCCAATCATAGACGCAGAGAGAGTCTCCTTCCTGAAGGAGGCGGGACCAACAAACAGCCCGGATAGAACAGCCCTAAACTAGAGGTTATACATGGACTGTATAAAAGATGGACGTAGCAACCGGCCCAGAAAAATGAAGCCAACCTGAAAGTGTCAAAAACCTGCAGCATCCCTACGTCCGTACGTAAAGTTGGGGATTCAAACGTCAGCGTCACAGCAGAGTAACGGCCCGTTACGCTGCTGCCTGAAAACGCTACGCCGCAAATTGGGCTGATGCGTTGTTTTCGAGGGTACGCAGCGGGAAAATATTTAACAACAAGCGCCGATGGAGTTTCACTTCCGTCGACTTCGCTGCTATCCGCTAGCGTATTCGCCGCTAACCATTAGCAGCATTCGCTAAGACCTCCCCCGGTCAACTACAATGACCACCCCACCCATCCGACGACCCTTTCCCCCCACTACGCTGTAAAAAAAAATCCTTGTCTTTGCATGGTTTAACCTCTTATAAGCAGCGGTATGACGTATTGGGACGAGAGCTGATTGTAACCCATACATCCTCCAGTTCTGGATGGATGTGAAAATGCACGAAAAAATACGTTCTATGTCATTTAATATTTCATTTACCTTCTTTGTAGTCTTTTCCATATCGACATGTTTAGTCAGGTATCCACACAAAGCCATACATTTTGGTTCATTTACACCATTTGACAACCAGAGATGTGAGCAAACGGTGAGCAAACCATAATTCTGATCAGTAATCGGTATTATTCTTCGTATGTAAGGTGGTTCAGCAAGTATCTGCAGATCAGCAACCACTTCCCAAAGACTATCTGCTTACAGGTGTCCTACTATGTTCATAACTTTCATAAATTGAGCTCAAAAAGAAGTAAAATTTGTACTTCACCGACTGAACCGGAGTGAAGCATAGATTTTTTTGTTGTGAACAGGTTGAAAAACGGAGAGCTGTCTCAGAGCGCCGGAAATCCATTAAGAGCCATGCATCATCATCCTTCAGGAATTGGCGCGCGCAATAATTAAACAATGTATTCAATTTGGAGTTAATGAGCTAAAAACACGCTAAAGCCTTCGCTAAACTCACACCTTGCTGGTTAATGCACACACACACACACACACACACACACACACACACGCTCGCCGCTATTAGTCTCTGTGATCAATGAAATCATGAGAGCATGTTATTAGCTCCTTATGTTTGCAATACGCCGATCCGTCTGCATGTAAAAAAATGCATTATTAACATGGAATCGATGCGCCGCTCATGAGATCCATCAGTTCCTACGTTACACATAATCGAATGACATTTTCCTCTTCCCTGCTTTGCTTTTTTTCCTCTCATCAACACTATTTATAAGTAATTAAAGGGAACCTTATCAGCGATGGTAATTTACACGTGTGGACAACTTTTAAAAATGCAAACCGGTGCAACCCGGGCGGGTCCAAACGTCTCCCGGAGGCTTCGGTTGCTGCTGCTGCTGTCACTCCCTCTCTGATGCGCTGTCACCACCTGAAGAGGCGTACGCTTTCCTTTTTCATAGCAAGGCCTTTTCATTCCTCCACTGCTCCTGTCTTTTCCTCTTTTCTTCCCTCCATGATACGCTGTCACCGGTAAGTGTACCTATCTCGCCCGCTTGTCATACAGAGATTGGCCTCCTTCACATGTTGGCCCATTTGTCTTCATCAAACACAATGACTGCGGCGAGCTGCCAAGCGCTGACACCTGTCACCTCGGCATTAGAACAAAATCACTCCCGAGGTACTGGCCCTGGGCGATGCTTGTTTTTTTTCTTCTTTTAAATTGTGCCTCCTTTTTTTTTAAAATTTCAGGTCAGATTAACACTTAGCGCTTTTTTTTCTTCGACGACTGAAGGCTGTAAATAAAAAGGAGGGCAAATGCTCTGCTGTAGTTTTAGGATTTGGTTTGATGTTTAACAAGAGAGCAGAGTTTGATTTTTCTTAGGAGTGGAGTCCAAAATCAAAGTTTT